GCCCTCAATGATTGACATGTGGCAAATGATGATGTCATTTGTCAAAATTGCTTAGTTGGACTTCAATTGATGAGATGGATTCCCCAATTGATTAGGTGGCATTTTTATTTATGGATGTTTTTAAGTTTTTTCCTATTTTACATTTACACAATCATTAAATAATTACCACATGTATATATATTATTTCCAAAGTTAATATTTTATAAATTCGAAATAAAAAAATCTTATTTATATTTTCAGTATTTCAAAATATATTTATTGAAAAAAATTCATGAAACTCAATTTTTTTACGAATATTCAAATAATTTTTTGAAAAAAATAAATAAATTTTTAATATTAAAATATTAAAATAAAGAAATACAATTTTTTTTTTTTTTGAATTTTCAATATTTTGGAATATTCGAATATCCATTCAATAAAAAAAATTTGGATATCTGTATAAAATGAATATATTAATAAAGTAATATATATTTCATAATTTTTCATTTAAATATATAAATTTAATATATATATATATATATATATATATATATATATATATATATATATATATATATATATATATATATATATATATATTTTTTTTTTATATATATATATAAATAAATTTAAAATTTATATATATATTTATTTTTATTTTTTTTATATATATATATATATATATATATATATATATATATATATATATATATATATATATATATATATATATATATATATATATATATATATATATATGTAAAGGAGATGAGAAATACAATATAAAATATATTGTTTCAACTTATTTTAAAATTTTAAAATTTTTATTTGTTCCAAGTTTTGTGGTAAAAATAAATAAGGCAAGAACAATAGTATGTATATAATATATTTAGTGTATAAAATAATACTAATGGAAAAAAGATGTAATATTTCTTAGTTTTTAGGCAAAATATGGGATTTCTCGATCCCAATCCTGATTCCCGAAATATTTAGGGATACCGATATAATCGGGATTTAATAGTTTGGGACGGGATTGGGATTTAAAATTTCTATCCCGAATCCCGATCCCGAAAATCCCGAATTCCGAAAATCCCGTCCCGAACTCACCCCTAGTACCGATCCAAAACGATAGATATTATGAAAGGGACAGAGTTACGTTTAGTGGTGGAATTCAACTTTAATTGCGTACTTAAATGAAATTGAACTTTTAGAACCGGTTATTGAAAAAAAAAATGCACTAGACTAATTGCTCTAATTGCTTAACAACGACTTTCTTAAGGATCGCTAATTTGTATTTACATCGTGCAACTAATTAGTCAATAAATAGAATTTTCATAGCTAATTTTTTTCCAAATTATGACTTTCTACTGCACATTGGCATCACCAATGACATTTCTAAGGAAGAACATAATATATGTATTATTAAAAGTATTATTTACGGTTACCCCTAAAGTTAGGTCAAATTACAAAATATCCCCTCATATTTGAGTAATTACAATTGCCCCTCAATTATGAATTTATCTTACACGTCTACCTTTATGGTGTCAAATTCAACATAAGCTTCTAGATTCCGTGAAATATTCTCTAATTTGTAATCGTTTTGTGCAAAAATGCAGTTACTAATGCACCACAATCTGATATTTACAAGTCAAGAGACACATCTTATAATCATCTTGTTTCAAAATATGGATATATCGAACGGGGTAAAACAGGTAAAAATTGTAGAATATTAAACATAATCTAGAAGATTCCACTAAATTTTGACACCAAAAGGGTGGACGGGTAAGAAGATTCATAGTTGTGAGATGATGTAATTAACCAAACATGAGAGGGGGCTTTTCATAATTTAACATTATCTTAGGGGGTTGGACGTAATTTACCCTATATTTTTTTTATTATTGAATAAACTTAAGATGACAAATGGAAATTAAAAATGGGGAAACAAGATGATTACACAATATATATACTGAATATTTATTAAAAGATTCCTAATAAAATAAATATTTTTCTTATATTAGAAAATGTCAAAAAATAAAATAAAAATACATAGTACATGATGACAAAATAGTAGAAGAAAATAGGGACCAGGGGTCAAAGCAGTTGAGCTGCGGAGAAAAGTTTGATGCCCTTTGAATTCACCAAAATGCAATTAAATTAAATAAAATAAAATTGCGATAAATATTTTAATTTGGTCTTTGGCTCAACGAATAATCGACTTTCGGAGGCCACAGCAGCCAATTGGTATGGGCCCACATGATAATGTTTGGTCCCATTTGTATATCTATCTAATTTTTTTAATTTTTTTTTTAATATCTCAAACTTTTTTTATTTTATTTTTAAATAATAGGTTGAAAGATTCTCTAATTATTAGCACATGAATCACTTCACTAGATCTAAAATACTATAAATTATAACCTAAATTCATGCCTACTAAAATTAATCAACTTAAATATCTAAATATTTTATCCTTATTCCATCTAAAATTCAGTTTTTCGATCTATGTTAATTTCTTAACATAGCGAGCATGTATTTATCAATTCGATCGGATCTATCCAGAACTTGTCCCGTACGTAAGTTCGCCACAGGTTTTTTAAAGTTCTAAATTTGAGGAACTAATTGTGGTATTTATATGACTTTTTATTAATAATATGATTTTTTTTTCTTAAAATATAAATAATGGAATTATTTTTTAAACATTATATGAATAATTTGTTTACTTAATTAAAAGAGTCAAATAAATTTAGGTGACTTATACCGAAAAACGAAAATTTTAATTATGAAAGACTTTGATAGCAAATTTGTCGTTACTCGAATTTAATTCCTAGCCATATATTCCTAATGAATTATATTCAATTGACTTATTCATATAACTATAGGTCATTTAAATATATTACTAATACTAAAAGGATGATATTTTAGAGGCTAGATCGTCAACTATTTATGTTAAATCCGTGTGTATATATATACCTATATATTTATTTAGTCCCTCATCAATTGCAAAAAGATCCTTCATTTTATACCTATATATTAATTTAGCCAACTCGAATTCCAAATTACTATAAAAAAGTCCTAATTTTTTATTTTATTTTTCCTATTTTCTGGTTTTGCAAACAAAAAAAGTTCTAAATTTTTTTATGGAGCAATATTTAGCCTACCTAAATCTCAAATTAATGCAAAAAAATCCTAAAAAAAATATTTCCTATTTCCTAACAAATTCATGGACTCACCACCGTATATTGTCATTTTACGAACATGTGTGTATACAATGCTTTGTACGTCTAACACGTATATATGTATGTAGGAAAACTTATAACCACCCCTCGAGGTATGACTAAATTACGAAAAAACCCCTCTTGTTTGGGTAATTACAACCACCCCTCATTTCAAATGTTTTTAGATAAAATTTATGTAATTCGAATATTACCAAACCAAATCGTATATTTAGTTCGGTAAACGGTATAAAATGTTGGCGTACCAAAATTTCGGATCGGTTTTACCAAATTAACATCCCTAAATTTACCTCTGGAAGGATCTTTTCGCAAGATAATACATAGTTGAGGGACGACTATTATTACCCCAAACATGAGGGGGCTTTCATAATTTCACCATAACTCAGGGGTGGCCGTAATTTGCCCTAGGTATGTAGGTACGTACGTGTTCGTGTCTGTGTATAGAACATACGTACGAGTAGTTGCAGCATGTGAATTGAACATTTGTAATTAATTTAATAGATGAATTTGTGAGTGGTCGCATCATAACTTTTGTTAGATGTGTACAAATTAAACATCGACAAGTTATTATCCTATCTCATGCACGGGTTGTCGATTTATCATCTACATATTAATTTATATATATATATTTGGCCAATTACTTATTAAAAAAATTATAAGAGGACCCTAATTTAACTTACGAACATCTTTCATTTGATACATAACTCTTTATAATACATTTACAATATGACTCAACATCGGAAACACAAGGTTAAAAAAAAAATCCTACTAAATTCCAAAATAAAAATAAAAATACAAGGAGAGAAAACTTACAACATATCACGACATAATTATTTACAAAAGTACCCCACGAAATAATGAAATATGACTTTTCTCCCCCCAATTTTATTATCAATATAATATTAATATTTCCTCTAGAACACCAATAAAGATTCCTTGGTATCATAACCCATCTTCTCCAAATTAGGGTTCACCGCGAACTGCAGCATCGGCGGCGGGCCACAAGCCAAAGCCAGTGTATACCCAGTCGGCGCCGGAATATGCTCTCTCAAAACCGCCTCAGTAACAAAACCCAAGCTGTACTTCCACCCTTCCTTAACACTCTCCTGCACCACGTACCAAACCCTAACCCTCGCCGGAAACTTCTCCGCCCAAGCGTCCAGCTCATCTTTCAACAGAATGTCGTCCTCCGTCCGATTCGCGTACACCACGTACATCTCCGTCTCATCCTCCGGGTCCTTCAGAATCGCCTGCATCACCTGATAGATCGGAGTGATTCCGGTGCCGCCGGCGATCATGGCGAGTTTCTTCGCAAACTTCTGTTTGCCGTGCACCGTGAAATTCCCCTTTCCGGTGTACTCGATATGCCCGAGCGGGCCCTTCACGTCGATAAACGAGCCGAGCTCCAACGAGTCCAAATGCTGCGACATAATCCCGCCGTTGGGGAATTTCGGGTGGACCCCGCCGAAGTAGACCTTGATCACGAGCTCGAAGTACCCGACCACCTCCACGTCACTCGACGGTGTGTACGCACGCATGCATAGCTTATCGTCGACAGTGGCGCAGACGAAAATGTGCTTCCCGACGGGCAGTCCCAGCACGTGCTCCTCATTGGGGAGCGCGAACCGGAACAGCCTCACGTCGTGGGAGAGTTCCGTGCGAGCGATCAGCTTGCACGGAATCTTCGCCCGCGGCACTAGGGCAGAGCCCCTCGCGCCGGCCCCTGCGGACATGATCTCCCTAATAGGGGCCAGGTACGAGGAGCTGTTGCCCGAAGGGCCGTGGACGGAGTTGTTGGGGGAGGAGTCGGCGGACTGGTACCCTGTGGTGATTAGTTCGCCGATCCTGTACTCCTCCAGCATGTTCTTGGCCTTGTCGGAGTGGATCGCGTCGAACTCCTCAGTGCAGTCTGTGCCCGCGTTGATCAAGATGCTGTCGGCGCCGCCCGGGTGGTCCTTCAGGAAGCGGGTGGCGTCGTAGACGTGGCCGTGGACGATGATCCAGGCGGAGTCGGCGTGGTTGTGCTTTCGGACCTCGGACATTGAGAACATTTTCGAGGTGGTGTTCATGAACGGTGAGGAGACACTCTTTTTCAAGGTGTGGTTCTCGTTCGAGGCTTTCTCGAGATAGCGCTCCTTCGCCATCCATCCGCCCGACTCGTTTCCTGGCTGAGTTGGGTGCTCGAAGACGATTCCAATTTCGCCCTTGTGCGGCTTGCACACGTTGGTTTTTACTCGGAACCAACAATTGTTCATCATACCCTGAAAAAATTATAATCAAACCATAATTGTTAGTACTTATTACGAAAACTACTAAAAAAAACTAAATTTACGATTTAATTTGAGATGATAAAAAAAAAACATTAATAATTAATAGAATTGAAGTAGAAGGATAAAATAGGAAAAAGAAAAATGACACCGAGGAAAACCGTAGCATGCAAATACGACAAGATAGTAACTATGATCACGTGGCATTCACGTGATCCCAGAATTGAAGTAAGGAGGTGAATGATATAATATAAATTTCATAGGGACTGAAATGACAAAAGAGCATATTAAAAATTAAACGATTCTGTATATTCGCATAATGCTGGCACGTGGATATAGTCGGTTTATTTGAAAAAAACAAAATTTGATTTTTTTTTTCAATATAGTCGGTTAATTTGATTATTATTGATTTATTTCTGAACACTGTGACTTATAATATAGTATGCCTAATGATCCTATGATTTATTCAACCATTCTTTTAATTTATTCAATTATACTACAAAAAAATTTCATCACAAAAATAATAAATGAATAAAACGACTGCGTACCATGAGATTCCAAATGAGTTTCTCGGGCTGAGTGTTGAGGGTTTCGTCCCAAGCCCGAACCGCGATTTCCTTAGCGCTAAGCAAATCGAGAACTTCGACTTCCAAAGACCAGAAACACCAGCACCAATATTTACCGTACTTATTTGGCTTCTCGGGGTGGTCCAATATGCCGACGTTCCATGTTTCGCCCCCGTCCATCGTCACCTCAACCCTAGTCACTTTCTTGCCACCCCCTATTTATTATTCAAAATTAAACCAAAATTAATTTCAAAATTCAACCAATAAGTGTGACAAAACAATACATTATACTACATGCCTAAAGTCAAGATTGTAGCTTTCAAATTGTCGTCACCCACTAATAAACTAAAATTGATGCAACAATAAAATTAATAAAATTCAAATTATTTATTGGTCTCTTGACTAGATTCACAGAATCTTTTTTTCTCAAGTGTTTTGATAAAAATAAAATACTCCAACCTAGTTGTAAAAAGGCAGGCCTATGATGGTGGAAGTATTTATTTATTTAATTTAATTAATTTTATATATTTTAGTCAAGTTAGTTGTTGTCACATGAGGTTTTATGATTCCCAGCTTTTTAATTAATATTAATTTTATTTTTATTTTTTTAATCCCCCTAAAGAGTGGAGACCACGCACTTAAGTATCGTGTTCGTGTTCCCTACTTAGTGACCAATTACGAATAAAAAACACAATTAGCTAATTAAATTACTTGTATTAGTACAAAAGCTAACCCAATTAAATACTATGTTTTCACAGGGAATTTGGAATATACTCATGTGCAAATTGACAAATTTTTACTATTACTTTGGGTTAACTCATTATACCTCTTCGAATATATAAAAGGTTATCCCTTTGCAACTTGCAACGTGACAAATTTTTTTTTTTAATAATAATTATAATTACAATTTTTTTTAAAAAAAAAAAAACTGTTACAATGCAACATAGGCAGTATGACTAGATACAATGTACTATACGAAATAGCAAACCCCCGGAGGTGGTAATTTTGTTAATATATATTCGGTAATTTATTAAATTTAATTTATGAACAATTAAATAAATATGTAAATGATAAAAATGGCAACATTGGGCAGGAGAAAATAAATAAATAAATAAATAAATGAAGAGGGCGAGGGCGAGGGCGACTCACCAGAGTAGGCGTAGCCCCTCAACGTGTAAGGCCTCTGAGTCGTCCACGAGTTGATGGGTAAGATCTCTTCGTGGCATGGTGTGGTAATCACTGAGTTCGTGTTCAACTCGTTTATGATGTACTCGGGCCTATACCACCATGCTGCAAATTACAAAAAATAAATATTACTATTAACTAACCAAACCGTCATACAAAAATATCAAGAAATTCACGCCGCCGCCCGTGAACAGAATTTTTTATTTATTTATTATATTGTATTAATGTATTATTTATCAACCAATGAGAATACTCTGAGTGAAAACCGTGTGTTGATAGATACAAGACAGCCACACATAAAACCATAGTACAATTCTATATCGTGAGTTATGAACCATATATATAATATGTTCTAAGATAAGTGTTAAAAAAAATATATTAAATAAAAAATATATGTCTTTTAGTCATTTTCATCATTTTTTGTTAAAACTACCGAACTGACGGACTGAACGTAGATTGACGGAAATGACAAAAAATATCAAATTATTGAAATATGATGGACTAAATGTATTTTTTTTCTTAATACGAAGGACCAAATATGAAATTATTGCAAACTTGAGGTGTGAAAACTGTAAATTTCCCAAATTAAAACTGTGTCAAGCTATTACCATGCAACAGAGGGTCAAAATAGTAATTTCATAAATAATGAAAAATATGGTACCTTCAGAATTTGCCAGCTCAGCATCAACGTGGGAAGGAAGAACCCGGTTATCCTTAAAATGGTAAAAGTTATCAGACTCCTGAGTAGTAACAATTATACGCTTCAACCATTTCACCATTCTGCCGCCGATGAATCCGGGAATAATCATCCTCACCGGAAACCCATGATCCGGCGACAATCTCTCTCCGTTCTGCATGTACGCCACTATGATATCTCTCGACGGATCCATCGCCATCTCCTTCCTCAGGCTCGTCCCGTACTTGGATCCGCCGCCGCCGGGCAAATCCTCCGCCCCCTCGAAGCACACGTTCAGCGCGCCCTTCTTCGTGCTCATGATGCCGCACCGCTTCAGTATGGCGCGTAGGGGCACGCCCCGCCACACGGAGGTGGATACCCCGGCGGCGCCCCAGTTGAACCCTATGGTCTTCTTGATCATGTTCTGCTCCTTGCGGCGGTTGCCGGCGCAGACCAGGCTGACCGGGAACTCCTTGCTCGGGAACTCGGTCTCGAGCTGGTGCATGGTGAGCCGCATCGGCTTTTTCACCAGACCGGATATTTCGACGGTCCAGTCGTCCCATGATGTCTTCGGGACCGGCCCGTGGTTGCGGACGTAGTGGAGCGGCACCGGCGTGATGAACCCGTGGTGCATGAGCCGCGGCAGCGGCGCCTCCGCGTTGAACGGGTGTTTTCCGGTGAGTCGGACCATGGACGGGTTGCGCTCCACCCAGTTGTCGGCGGTGAACTCGTCCCTCGAGTCGTGGACCGAGGGTTCCAGCTCGGCGTTCGCCTTCTTGATAGCAATCGCGTACTCGTTTTCTTCGTCGTCTTCGTCGTCGTCATCGCTTGACGAGTCATCAGCCTTTGCATTATTATTAGTGGGCTTATTGGAGAAAGAGATATCGGCAGATTTGGAAAAGTTGTAGCCACGAACTGGGGAGTCGGACCGGTGGTTGGATTTGAAAGAGCGAACGACGCCGTTCATTCCCGGTTCGTGGATGGTATATTGCCGGTTTTCGACGGAAGCCGCCATGTTGGACCGGTGAAAGTGTGGTGGAGGGTGGTGGCGGTGGAATTGGAGAGGGGGAGGAGAAGGAAGCCTTTTTTGCTTCTCTTCAACAAATTAATTTGTTTATTTACTTTTTTAATTTCTTGTTGAAAAGATTGATACTGAGGTTGGTGCTTTATATAGAGTGAAATTTAGGACTATTTCAATTGAAATTATTAAATTACTTTCCAAGCCTAATGGGACATCGATTAGGTCCCACCTCTTACTTTATTGTTAGAGTGACATATATAAAATTGTATTTAAAAATAAATGAAAATTGAATCAATTGTTTTTTACTATATATATATACATAAAAATAAAAAATATTTTGGGTTTTAAAAACTAATTATTGTTTAGAAGTTGCTCAACCGACGTGATTTACTTGAAGGTTGACATGATCTTATTGAAGAACTTCTCAATGTGTGATTGTGAAGAAACATTGCACTAAATTAAATAGTTCATTGTATTCAATTTATGTTTAAAATTCTGATTTACTTTGCACGAAATTCCTTGTTCACAGTGGTGAAGTTAGGATTTCATCCATCGGGGTGAATATATTTTAAGAATTACGTAAATAAATTAATGACCAATGGTTGTTCGAAAAATGGCGAAATTAGGATTTTGTTACCTAATTGGCTTATTTTCGGGGCACGAAAAAAATTATTAAACATTATAGGAGCACAATACATGTACAATGACAATAAATTTTATATACATATATAATAGTAAAAAAATTAAAATTTGAGGGGTCTCATGGCCACCCCTGATCCTACACTGAATTTCCCACTGCCTATATACGTGTATTTCGCTTGTTAAATACGTTGAATAGATCTACACCATTCATTTACAACATACGCGCACCCACATTCCCCTTAATGTGTGTAGATCAATAGTGAATATGCATTTAATGTAACATTCATTAATTCATTTAATACTATAGAAATAGTCCAATTTTCCTTAATACATAGAGAGAGGTTAGTTGTATTGTTTTACACCAAAGTATTAGGCATTAATCAGCACATTACAAGAGAACGATGATATATGTAAGTAAAAAAAATATTTGAGTTAATTATCAAAAAAATATATATATATATTTGAGTTTGACTTTGGAACCAAAAAAAATATTAATAGTTATGATTCCAACTTTATAGCATTTAATACTATGAACTATGATCTATGCTTGGATTTAATTACTCACACAACCATCTAAGATTTTGCAGATATTTACCCATTTCGTTTTGAAAACAATACACATTATAAATATGTTTTTTTGAAAAAAAATAAAATAGAAAGTAGTTTGCAGAATATTATCTATAATATAATCCTTTCAATAAATAAAGAAACCCAAATAAATGGCAAATTACGGCCAACTCCATGATGTTTGTTCAAATTACAAAAAAAAACCTGATGTTTGGGTTATTGCAACCACTTCCTCAACTATGTATTGTCGTACACATTCATTTTTACGGTGTTAAATTTGCGTAATGAAGGAAGGAGATTTTCGTAAGACGATACTTAATTGTGAAGGGTGTTTTTAATTACTGAAACATGAGTGGTTTTTCCATAATTTCATCACACCACAGGTGTCTGTGACGTAATTTGCACCCCGAAATTTAAAAGAACAAGAGCATTCTAGATATTATTAATCTGTGTTTCATGAAATTAATTAAACCACGTAGAACCCACTTATGCATATAATATAACCACTTTTGCATATAATTGCCATATTTTTTACACAATTAAACTCACTAATCCAACTTTTCTGCTTAAATATTTATCTAAATCAAGAATCATTATTGGAGGCATTATTCTACTATCTCGACACGTGTAAAGTGTAAAAATAAAAAAATAATATTTTTGTGTTTAATTTTTTTTCTTATTATGAAACAGTATCTGAGTAAATCTGAACAATGTTATTACATTGAAACTTCGGGCCGCCGCGGTAATAAAATCCGGCAAAAATCTAGTCCAGATGAAACTCCCCCAGATCGAAACTTCTTTGAATTACACTACTTAATTAAATACATATTTTATTCTCCCTCTTTTATGACAATTTTAATTATTTAATGATTTAAAGTATTCGTTTTTGTTTTAATAAACGTTTTTTATTTGTTTAAATTTATTTATTAAATTATCTATAAGAGTCTTATTTTCATATCTTGAGACTTGAAATGAAAATTATCAGAACATAGTCATGAAAATTAATAAGTTTGAATATTTTGTCCAAATTTAAAACTCCTTAAGCCTGGGAATATCAATTCAAATTTCCAAAGAAATTGCAAATTTTTGACCTATGATTTACATATATATAATTCGTATATATTGGGGAGATATTCCTATGATATAATAATTAGTTAACTATAATTAATTAATAAATGATTTTTATATGACCTTTTTAGTAGATAAATGTTTGTTCTGGGGTGTATCTGGTGCAATATTCGAATTTTTCTTTCAAATTGTACAAAAGAGAAAGACTAATTTGATTTTGTTTATCACCTTTTTCCTTTTCTGAATTGTTTTTCTTTTAAATTGTTTTGGTCTTTCTTTTAATTATAATATTAATATCACTTTTGAATTTTGGGATATGATTAATTAAATACTTACATTGATAATCAGCAAAGATATATTAAAAAGTTGTGAAACAAATTAAGCAAATTAGGTTATAAAAAAGATGAACTATAATACTTTTTTTAATTATTTATATGCGATCGGTAGGCACATCAAAT